ATGCAATGAGGCAGATAGCAACATAACAGGAGCCAGGATGGATCAGACGGAGCATACATCTAGTCCTGCACTCTGTCCATGCAGCAGCCAGAACAGCTGTCCACAGTATCACAAAATGGTGTAAGAGAGCATCCTCACTCCCCTTCCCACTTTACACAGCATGATGTACCCCAGTCTTACAGCAGGAGCAAAGGATATGCAAAAGCCAGGGGAGTTCCTTCATCCTTTTGATTTGCCCTGTTTCAAACCCACAACTGACCTGTGGCAGCTTGTAGATGGTCAGGATAGTTGTCATATCAAGGCAGTCATTGGTGTTTGGTCCTCCAATGACTGCTGCCAGATCGCTTTGGACATCACATTTGTAGTTGGGGTTGAATCTGCCTGGCGTAGAAAGAAGTTGCATTGTGGCAGCGAAGGTATATTTTGGAGTGAAGTAGTTTGTGTAGATGTTGAAGCCTAGGGAGGCATTGGGCAAGAGCTGGGGATGGTCATTAATCTCCTTTACAGCATATTCCAAGGCCAGGATGTGTTGGTAGCTCTGAGTCAATGGCCTGCAATGAGAAGTTCAAGGAGTGCAGCTGCTTCAGGAGACCTGAGCTCAGGGACGAGCAAAACTGTCTGATTTCAATTTTCCTTCATTTACATTCAAATGGACAAAGCAATAACTCTCTAGTTCTCCCTTTGCAAATGTCAAATTTATCCTTGCCAAGTCACTGGCAATTAATTGACAAGTGATTACTTAAAGGAATTGGATTAGCATCATTCTCACCTCCTACATTTAGTGTTACAGCTAAAAAGCAGGGCCACCCGATTTCAGCATTCAAATGACTAAGAGATTCAAGCATTTGAATGGGAAAGTGCAGGGACATGATGGAGAAATTATTTGACACTGAGCGGTTCTTCCCCTTTAGCATAATTGGTTTTTTCTGCTTCATGTGAAGAATGAGGGATATTTTCTTTTTTTGAGCTGGTCAGCAGGAGATTTCTATAAAAATTATATTGAAAGGAAATTATTTATCCCTAGGAAGTTGAATTTTAAAATCTTGACCAGGATGTACTGAGGGAAATTATATTGCCCAACCACAGAGGATAAGAGTAGA